AGCGACATATTTATGTATATAGTTAAACACTTATAAATCATATAAAACTGCTAAAATATGTCCTACCTTTGTTATGTATATAATTAAACACATGAATCATATAAAACTGCTAAAACATAACACATGTCCTACCTTTAGTTTGGCATTTTAAGTCAGGGTGATCTATCATTTCACAAACAGCAACACAACTTATCTGGCTTCCATGTAGACTTTTTTTCCAGCTCCAACCTACTGGACTGTAATGTAGAGCAACAGTCAATTCACTAGACAAATATGTCCCTGTTCCAAAGAGAGAAGTCTGAAAGTACAAGAAAAGTCCTATGTACACCACATAATCGATCAGAATTAGTTGATACATTAAAAAAGTATTATATGATCAAATATTACACAGCAATCCAAATTATTTTGTTTTCTTGTATTAGCATTCAATTTAATGTTTGAACTAACAGTTTTGGTTATTGTAACCAAAACATCTTGGTAATACTGAAAAGGTTTTGTTGTCAGTGGCCTATAAAGTACATTTCAAATAGTACTACACTAATAGTACTAAACTCATAATGGGCCAATTAAGAGTAATGCATTCAAAGCTAATTTAACTTGGCATATATCATAAAATATAACAATTGTTATCCTATACAGGATCATGCTTCGGTATCATAAACAAACCAACTTCAAGGCATGTAGCTCGTTATAACCGTACCTCGCAAAAATCATGACAAAACATATAAATAGATGTTTTCAACACTTCCAAATTTACTTTAATTTGATGCACAGTTTCACAAAGTATTTTTCTTACAGTACGAAGTAGTACAATTCCAACAATAACATGCCCATACAGACATTCAATAAACAGATTGACCCACGACACACATTAGTAAGCTAATACATAGGTAACCACAAAATTAAACTAATAAGTAGGAGTAAATTGTAATTTATCATGTTCTAAGATATACTACACAAATTGATGAAATGCACTGCATTAGCCCTCAATACAGCTATTCTTTGTGCTGGTTCCAGTCCTTCAATTTGTGAATTAGTTTATAGAAAAACACTACTATTACTAGGGGCATAGCAACTGTTCCCACACACCCTGCAGTGAGGGAGGAAGCCTACTTAAATAGGGGGCCCATAGTGCTATAATAAATCGGATATGAAGGAGGCCCAATGGGGAAACTTGCAGGGGAGCCCACACATTCTACAATACACCTCTGACTACTACTAATAAATTGACAAGAAGGCTGGCTAAAAAAATCATAACAATTGGGTGACTCAAGTATTTTTTTTTAGATTTTGCTCAAAGTAATGAAACTGTGGTGTAACACAATGATGTAAATTAAATTTTTATGTCACTGTTAAACTAAAAAAAAAAGAATTAAATAAAAATAAATAGCGAACAGTTATAACCACAACGACCATAAGATTCAAAAGTCCTACAAATTAAAAATATGTTGGCCTAAATGAAATGTTTATTCACAGCTAACTATTTATTTTTGATTAATTACAAAATAGGCCAGACTTAATGATAGACGACTATCATATTACTGTACCTGTAGTTAATCTACCTCCTTCTGTATTTGATCATAAAAAATTGGTTTTAACCATTTTAATGTAATTAGCATAACATTTCTGATACTTATAAGTGGGCTTTAATTTCTAATTAAACTGTAGTTTCTCAAATAACTTTAAGTGTTCCATTAGAAGATTGACTTTAATAGCATTAAGGTCCTAGATTTTATACAATAAATCATAGAGAAGTATTCAATTTAATCCTCTCAGAACAAACTGCATCTTTAGAGAATCATACCTGTTTGTTATTGAAATTTTTCTTTACAAAAAAATTGGGAGTGGGGGTAAACCTCATAAAGGAAGGATGATTACAGTTAAAGGGATAATCAAAAAATAGATAAAACTTTTTAAATGCTTAACAAGTTTACCTTATTCAGATTAGAAACCAGTCCATTATGTAGAATAGAAAAAAAGTTATCTATTCTAGAGCCATGATAAGCATAGAGCGATTTCCATTCTCCTTTGGCTTTCTGAAATTTCTGTTCCCGTGAACCAGTAGGGCAAACTTCATATACATGAGTAGGAGCTGAGGCAGACATTACTTGATGAGTCAACTGCTTGATATTCTGAAACTGAGATACCATAGATAAAATAAGCAAGTTCTAAGTTTTCTTTATGTACAGATTTTAATAATGTGTGTCTCACTAAAGTCTTATATTTCATATTAACACTCACCTAAGTAAACCTTGCTAACTAATATGAGAAGTATTAATACAAATTTCAAATAATCAAGAATAATGAAAAACAAGTTTTTGTATAAAAATATATACTACCTTATCTGTACTATTAACTGAACAAAGACGAAAAGAACTGGTTTGTAACACCCAATGTAAGAGGTCCCATGACTCGGATGGCAGAGTTTTCTGAATATTGTCATTAACAATTAGTTCTTGAAATGATGGTATGCTTGAAACAACTGTGCGCTGAAAAGAATTGAAAACATTACTACTAGTATCTAATAGTAATAATTAAAAGAATGACTTACAAGATTCTTGGTTATTGTGAATCCTATTAAAACTATAAAAGTAATTTTTCTTTTCTGAGTAACATGTTAACAATTACTTAACACTAACTTCAAAAGTTACCAAAACTTATTGTAGTGCTCCCACTACATGGTCAGCAATATTTAACAGATTTATTAACAAACTCAGTGTATATGTTAACAATTTTTTAAATGATTTTATTGTTTTGTACAGAATATATATAGTAATTTCAGGAATTTGTCCTTTTTTGAAAACTCTTAAAACAATGTCTTAAAAAAAATCCACCACAACTTACACTATAAATACAAATAAATGATTAAAGTCATAATACAGAGATCAAATGGTCAACAACAGGTCTTTTGTAAAAAAAATATGGATCACCTATTTCTTTTTCCCTTCCAGTAATTTTAACTAATTCTTTATTACCTACGCACAGCAAAATTCTGATTACATTAATTATCACAAAAATAATCAATTAATCGAAATTAGTGTTTCCGATTATTACCGTTCTTGATTATTCCAATAATAGATTAATTAAAAGTGTGATTAAATCCATTGTCACAAAATTAATCAACTAGCCCAAATTAGAATTTCCAATTATCCAAGTAACCGAAATATTGGGACCAAACCTGTTTACACTGTTTTATGCTTCTAAGGCTATCTTCTACTTTCACTAATTTTAAACTGTTAACTAGAGGGAAGGCAACTGTCTGGCAGTAACTACCACCAAGTTTTTGTTGTTGTTGTTGAACTACTGTGTAGAGGGAAGGCAACTGGTTTCCAGCACCTGCTACTAACATTTTTCTGTTGGCTGTTATTGTTGTACTGCTGACTAGAGGGAAGACAACTGTCTGGCAGCAACTACCACCAACTTTTTGTTGTTGTTGTTGAACTACTGTGTAGAGGGAAGGCAACTGGTTGGCAACATCTGCCACTAATATTTTTTTATAGATGCTATGGTTTAAGAAACACTGTACTAATTGATGAGTGTGGCCACTAATTAATCAATTAGCAAATACCACTAATTTCCCAGCTCTGCTATATACAGTTGAACAACAATAAGATATTTAAAAGTAATTTCAGGCCTACCAGGTGTTCAACATCTTTTTCTCTTGTTCTCTCATCCAGAAAAGCTGAAGGGAAAGGCCTTAAGATACTATCATGGCGATAACTCTCCACTGCTGCACAGAATAAACTCCATAATAAGTCAGAAGCCAAAGGATCAGACTGAAGTTGCTCAAGAACACGGTATTTTGATTCTGAAAACATGCATTTGTCGATCTGCTAAATTGAAAAAAATATTAATGAATAATTCTTTTCATCAGACTCGATTGTAATATTGTATTTGAATTATTAATTTCTGGGATAGTTTTTAGGCACGAGTTGATAACCTGAAATTTCAAAATATTTAAGGTATAAAAAATAATACAATTATACTGTATATTTCATTAATATAACATAGCAACCTATGACAAATAATGTCAAAATCCTCTTCACAAAAGAATTATATGTCACCTCATAATTAAAAAAAAATTAGTTCTAAAACTGCATCTTTCAAAAAGATTAATATGTTAAAAAAAAGCAACCAAAGTTATTTTACTATTTTGAGAAAGATAAACATTTTAAAGTTAATCCCCCTAGACTGACCATCCTTTAAAATAAATTTCTAATACCAGAGGAAATTAACTGCTGAATACTTTAAAAAGACTATAAAACATATATGCAAGTTTTTTTCTATTTTTTGATACAAATTTTAACTCGTAGCCACTTTTGAGTCTTTACCCCATCTTTAACTAACAGAATAACATTTCACCTTTTTTGTTCTTGTGTTCCCTAAGATAGATCATTCTATTCATTTCACTAGCTTCCAGTAACATTAAAAGTAAGCACTTATGCTGTTATGAACATATAATTAATACATGTTGCACAGTTGGTTAGAGCTCTTATACTGTTATGAACATATAATTAATACATGTTGCATAGTTGATTAGAGCATTTACTTAGTTTGACTTCTGATTGGTCTATGATTTCACTTCATCAGAAAATGTATAACAAGTTATGAACATATAATTAATACATGTTGCACAGTTGGTTAGAAGCATAAGTGCTCTAACCAACTGTGCAACATGTAGTAATTATATGTTCATTACAATATAAGTGCTCTAACCAACTATGCAACATGTAGTAATTATATGTTCAATAGAGCAAAAGCCTAACAAGCAGATGCTCAAAGTCAAATCCTTCTCACTCTGTTTTCAGTTCTTAAGGAAAACCACTTACATCTAATTTGTTAGCAGCATCAAAGTCTCAACTTCTAACATCTTGTAACAAGGAATCCTAGTATTAGTGTTGAAGGAACAGATTATTTTCAACCTCTCTACTTTATCCGTACACAACAACCTAATATCATATTAATATTAATCTACAAAAGAGTGTTTCTCATCAAAGTATTACAGCCCTTTCTATCTCGACTAAGCTTTGTTTAAAAATATTTTTTTTAAGAAAATAATTGTGAACTTACCCACATACTCTAGTTCACAAATTGTTTAAGTGTAATAAATCTCTCATAAACTGTTCTTTCCTACCTTACTTATCTCACAAATTTAATCAGTTATGTGTCTCTAATAAATAGTTCTTTCTTGTACCTAACTACCCCACCAATTGATCAGTATATCTTTTTCATGGCATAATACTTCTATCTAAACTTGTAAGCCTAATAAAAAGTTTCTGTTGTTTTTGAAAAGAATTTCTGAAAGAGCTACCTGATATTTATAACCCTAAACTCCCTGAAGAGGCTCATAGCATCTCTAAACTTTCATTGCCAGAATCACTTTAGTTCTTCAACAATTAAAATTGCAATAAAATTTCCATATTGGCACCCATCCTTACAAGTTTGTTAGAACACAAATTAGTGTATTCATTATACAAGAAAATATTTCATCCAGGAAGCCTGTTAACTCCTATATATACATCTATGAAAAATGGCTAACTTTTAATTTTATGATAAAGAAGGCCCTAGATGAAAGGAATTAAAACCAAATAAGTAAAAGAGTAACTAATCTGAAATTAAAAAAAAAACTATTACTTTCCACTAAAACTCTTATCTGCACTTGTAGTAGCTGATGCCAAGCATTACAGCAGTTAATGTGTTAAAACATATACAATATTTCCACACCTAATTAAAAAATCATTAAACGTGGCCATCACTTGCTATAACAATGGTCAATTCTGTTTCATATTCCACACTCCATGGTTAATTGATGTAAACTAAACCTATATGTAAATTGAAATATTATGCAACCACTAATTTAATCATACTGTGACTTGTAAGTGTAAATTAAAAAGCTCAGTAAAACGTATTTTTGAGATAAAAAATCCTGATGTAACTCAATCTAAAACACTTTTGTACAGTTACCTTACAATTTCCATTTCTCCCCAAGTTAGGACTAGGCTATTCACTAATCCATCTTACGCCTAGCAATGTAGAATCACTACAATAAAAGTAACACATGAGCACTACCAATAGACTATTACAGATAGTAGTGATACTGTAACAGTGCAATGTAATTAGTATTTTAGTTTTATTACCATGTTTTTAGTTTCAGTAACATTATTTTTCACTTATCTTAGACTAACTGATGTAGGTTTATACGTATAACTATAATCTTTGCACTACTAATCAGAGGTAAGCCTAAATAATTGTCACTGTCAGTGGCGACGTTACATTTTGTTATCGCAGAAAAGGAAATTTCCCAATCTATATCATTTATAGTAACAGCATATTGTAAGATGTGTATTTAAATAATTTATTGATATTAACTCTAGTCTACTGTAGTGTTGAGGCTGTAGATTAATAATTATCGGAGGATACTGAATGGTGAAATATGTTGTAACATTTCTACAATTACATTAAAAATTATCAATGCATGCTGAAATTTACTTTCAATCTATCTTGGTGAAATTGAAACTTGTAAAAGTGGAATAGAAATTATGCTATTCATTCGAACAAGATGATGTTGTAGGAGTTAGTCACATTAAATATTGTTTAACGATAGTGTGTGATGTAAACTTACCTTCCACTGCCCTCGATTTTAAAATTAGCTTTCTGAAGCAAAATTAAGTTTGATTTAAAACTTTTTATAAGGTTTTCGTATTACCTTTCAAGTATATCTAAGTTAAATCATTTTTATAAAAATGGACAATAAAACACGAACCCTCACTTTTCGAAATACATACTAGGGGCGCTTGCCAGGATACAATGTTTTCTTCCTATCAAACGATACATAATATAAAACATTCATTAATTAAAATACAATGATGTGCTTAACGATATTTGCATTTCTAATGTATGTATATATATATATATATATATATATATA